TTTGAACTGAGTAGTTACAATAGTTATATATGGCTTTATATACTAATAGTAGCTAATTCTGAGTTGGGTTCCATTGGGTTCCAATGTCAATATTTGCTACTGAGTTTGGGGTCTAGATATTACAATGTGAAATATGGATGTGAAATGATAATGGTGAAAATGAAATTAATAGATAATAGAGAGTGGCCAGAGTCTGGTGGGTTTCTGTGATTGAATCCATGGTTGGTTGAGGTGACATGGAGGCTGGTAGCATATGCATAATACTCATATAGATCTACTGTTTCTAATTTGGTGGACTGGAGCTTGCTCTCTCTAAGGCTGTATGCATTAACTTTGAGGATGATCTGATCAATGTCCTGCTCTTAGATCAAGAGACTTTGGGGCATGCTGGCCATAAGGCTGGACTCATCCACCTGCTTAGAGTAGAGTTCAGATAAGGCTTCTAGTATATGCTCTCAGTGATAGTTGACAGAGGAGATGGCCACATCTCTGATTGAGGGTCAGCTCATATGGCTGTCATCCCCTTATACTGACTCTCTCTCATCAGAGATGGTCAGTCAGATGATGAGAGAGAGGGATTCAAACCCTCCTCTTCCATTTTATACACTTCAAGATTCTAGAGATCAGATGATATAATTTGTGCTGCTAGTATTTGTGGATTTTGAGGCTGATAGTCAGATAATGATGCTCTCTCAACTCAGGAGTGTATGAGGTGTTGGTTGGAGGGCTCAACAAAGGAAATCCACTCTTCATCAGTTCTACTACTTCTCCAGTTCTCTCCTTCTTCTTTTTTGTTCTCTTGATAACCATATGACATGATATCTGATAACTTCTGTTATTGCAATAAACAGGCAAGCACCTGCAATAGAGGTGGTAATGATGTTTCTGAGTGTGAGTTTCATATGCTAGTCCTAGGCAAAGTGCTGTCAGACCAGAGCATATGAAGTCTTGAGCTAATTGTTAGACTTCCATTAATGCTCACAAATCTCTAGCACTGCTTCTGCTGGAGTCTAATTCCAGATGCTAAGTCTGGGTCTGATTTCAATATAAAAGTATAATGAGGATGATGAGATAAGCTATAAGAATTTCATGAAGAAGGATGAAGAGTTGTAGCTGGTAGATATAATCTGCTATTGTGGTAAGAGTATTCACACCAGATAGTCAGAGAGTGTAGTAGGTGTATTAAACCTTAGCTCAAGACTGAGATACATTAGTGTGTACTACTACCTTATATACTGTCTAAAGAATCCTATACTCTATAGGTGACTATTGTCTGCTTTTCATGCTCTCTGCTTATTGTCTGAGATAATAATGACTGTGCTCTTGCTTTTGTTTATTATTGTCATCCTGCTATACCATCACTATGGTGAGTTTTCTATATGCCACAGTTCTCATTGTGTTCAAGATGTGAGACAGCAATAGTTACCATATTGTTCCTTGTCATCTTATTGTGCATCAATGAATAAGGTATAGCCATGGTGTCATCATGCTAATATGATCTAATGTGCTGCTATCATGCTTGCCTTCATATTGTTCATTGAACAAATGGCAAAGATTCATGAAGAGACAAAATCTGCTCTTGAGAAAGCTACTGCCACAATGAAATGTCAATATGACAAGTCACAACACTCCACCATCTAATACAAATTTGGAGACAAAGTCTGGCTAGACATGTCTAACCTACACCTCTCACACCCTCCTTCCAAACCTGACCTCATCAAAAACAAAAAACATTATAAAATTGAACAAATCTTTAATCATTAAATATGTAAAACCTGAGATTGTCAGAATCAAGACCCCAATACCTTTGTTGAATACCTGGTCAAATGGAAGAGGTATAGTCTGAAATCCAATCAGTGGATCAGCAAACATAATATGAATGCTGATGCTGCTATCTATGATTATAAACTCTCCTTTAATTGAACCATCAGGATGATGATTTTAATAGAGGAGTAATGTTATGGTTTTTCTGTTTATCTTATCTTTTATCTTGCTTATCTTATCTTATCAGAATATCTATCTTATCTAAGATGCTTATCAATCATGAGACAATTACTTGACTATAATAGGCAGCTCTTGCTATCATTCTTTAACATATTACAAATGTCTTATCAATAGACAATACCCTATTGTTCTGCTCTCAATGACTAGACAACTATAATACTATAGCATAGAAATGCATAACAAGTAGAGGACTATATTTATCTTTCATAAAAACATATATAAGTAGGATAGCTTTCACTGTAGTACTCCAGCTTTGAGCTAAAGTTTATCTATACTGTTTTTCTCTTAAGTCTAATCTATAAACAGCCTTGATGCACTCAATCAGATCACACAATAAAGTGGACTCTAGCATGGCTGTACAAACTTGATACAACACTAGTTTATCATGTGTCCTGATCATATGCTGAGTGGGTCTAACAGAACTGACAACTGGGATAGCAATGTCTGAGCTGAGTCAGTGCTCTGAAAAATAAACACTGATGATGAGACACTAACCATCTCTGTTTATGATTCAGGCCAGTGCAACTTGGTTCATACTGATTTTCTTCTTTTCCACTAGTTTCTCTGTTGGAATCTGTGAGAGAATTTGAGCAATCCAGCATTCTGGCATGCTGAGTAAGAAAAGAATCTGAGAGAAATTAAAGGAATTAAATAGAAACTACTGAAAAAGGAGTAGTCTAGTATAAATATGAGAAGTCAATGAGGGAACTCCTCAGGAGTTTGTAATCCAAAGACTAAAGGTCTTACATGCATGTACTCTGGATACAGTTCAAATCTCAACATCCTCAACTCTAAACTGATTGAGCTAGGTACTCTTAAAAAAAGAAATATACACACCAATTCACAATTGTCTCAAACTGTTCACCTGTCAGATCATACATAGGTATCCAAATAAAGAACAAAGGAATTTTCAGTATATAATTGCAGAAGGATCATCTTACTCATTTATTTTATCCTGCTTGCTTGCTTTCTGTTTCTCCAATGAATGTCAGTAGACTGCAAGCAAGAGGAGACCATAGGATGGATCCAACACCAAACAGCTAAGCAGAATGGAATGAGCATAGAGACAGGCATGGATCAGTTCAAATTTTGAGGATCTTAAGAGTAGAGGACATCTCTCTCTCTTCTTCATGGTAGATAAGTGAATAGTGATTTTGCATTGAGATGAAAGGCATTAATTTGTTCTGGATAGCATAGTCTATGCATAGAAAAATTCTTCTAAAGTCAGCCAATATGAGAACTTGTAAGACCATACTTTATATAGCATGAACTAAAATTAAAAGTCATGTTAGCAGAACAAGTTGAAAGTGAGAGAGTCCTCACACTGATAAGCAAAGTATGAGGACATGCCAATGTACTGAATATATCCTGCCTTGATAACATCATGTGATGCTTGCATCTTGAGCTGCTAGTCAAAACAATCCATGTGGTTCACCTTTTCAAAGGACACTCACCATTTCTAAGATTGGTGTATCATTGTCAAAGTGATAACCTGGACAGCATATGTGTGAGCATTCAGCCACATTCAAAAGTGACTTACATTGCAGAACATTGATTTAATCTAATTGAAGGTGCTCCAAGCTGTGTTTGACTGAATCAAAGATGTGCTTGAATAGTTACAGAATTAATGCCACAGTGATGATGTCCAGTTGCAACAAACTGTACCTTTCAGCTCAGCCCATACTGATTAATGTATCCCATCTCATTAAGGTCCATACCAGATAGCTATTGGTCTCTGGGATTGTGCATGACTGGGACAAAGACCTGCAAAGCTAGTCTGTCAGAATCATTGAAGCCAGTGCTATGCATCAGGTTAAACTGCTTGATTGCCTTGCTAAGGATGATTTCTGAGAGTCCATTTGAGTAAGCCTTTCTTTCTTGGGCAAGATCCATAGCTGATGCTCTGCAGATCCATAGCTTATGCATTCCAGGATGATATGCAAAATTATCAGTCTGAAAGATTCCAAATGCACTAGTAGAAACTGTTAGTGATCATGTAGCCCTCAGAATGAGTCTGATGCTGTACCATAAGTCATTTTCTTTATCATGTTGGCAGATGTTAAAGCAGCTATCATACTGATCATTGTCAGAGCAGGGGAAGTTGAGGGGGGAGGGGTTACTCAAGAGGGCCTGACAAGATAGATTAACTCTTGAGAGTTGATATACAGCATAGTATGTCTACATCATAAAAACAGGAATAATGCATTAGTATTATGCTGACTACAGATGATGAATGTGAGAGTGGGAGGGTGCTTTATATCAAGTGAGGTCTATATGAACAAGCAGAAATGCACTGTATGGCCAGTTAAACACCATGTGAGTACATTCCAGGTACACCAAGGAGGATTCCTGTAGGCTAGAATGGAGAATAATCAGCAGAAATTGCAGTGTATCACTGACCTCCCAGTTAGTGGAAACAGTGGCAAGATCCAAATTTGTTTTCTTCAAATCTTCATTTGAGAACAAGCATTACAGTTACAGTAGATCATACCCAAGAGGATCACTAAGGACTTGGGTTAGTCGGTCCAAGCTGGGGTTTCTCAATCGCAGGTGACTTGGTGAGCTGGGCTTGGAGGTTTTCTAGATGGTGCTGAGGATTAGTAGTGCAACTCATGGTTATCCATTGGGTGCTGGGCCTAAAGGAAATGGTGACTCTCTTAGCAGCACTATGTGACTCAAGTCCAACGATTGACAGATTGATTTGAGATGTGTAGAGCTGAATACGCGGAAGGTCTGGGTGGAGTGCGCGGTGTAAACGCCTGCAGGAATACCTGTGTGGGTCATGCCCGGCAAGTTCGGCCCTGAGAGCCGGGCAGTTGACACCCACACTCTCGAAGATCCCACGACTTCTCATCACAGCCGAATGCCCTGAGAATCGCCTTTGCTTTTTTTTTGCTCGCAGCCTCATAACAGCGATCTTCGAAACTGCCTGCATCATGATGGACAGTGCCAGAAATATGACCGGCTGCAGAAAGAGATTAGTAGCGCCGGAGTAGGGGAGATACAGATATATCAATTAACGGTATCGTTACTTTATACAGTGAAGCACCAGTGCTGAAATGTGCCTGTATCATACAATTACGATTAAAGAAATGTCCTCCAGTCTTCAGAGCATTCTGCAGCAAATCAGAGTGCGGAGCTCGGATCCTCCGAGCCAGCTCCCTCTGTAGTCTTTTGGAAGAGGAACGAGATCGTACCACCAGGAACCCCGTGTATGCCATTCTTCCCAACTGTATCCAATTGGGCTATCAGACCTTCTGTCTGTGTCTGCGACGAGTCCTTCTGCTTGAGTTCAGGGACGTACATTATCTCTCGGAGGATGTCGTCTTGAATATCTTTATGGTTATCGCTGCCTATGCAGCTAATGTGTTTCCATTCGCTCAGAGCTGCCAAGCCCTCTCTCTTCTTCTGTGCGTACTGGAAAGGAGGAAGGGTGAGGCTATGAGGGAATGCTATAGAGTGTAACGTACAGCTTTATCCATCTTGTTCAGCTTGCTCACACTAACCTGGGATGCTACCCTGAAACCTTTATGCGAGTCGGAGTCGGAATCTTTGTCATCTAAGTCTGAGATGGGTTCGGGTTGGGAAAAAGCGGCTGTGGGCTGATCGTCGCAAGGGCATTCGAGGAGTTCGTGTGTGTTGCAGAGCGTGTCTGGGTGGATTCGGAAGATGTCGCGAAGCTGAAAAATATAGGTTAGTTCAGGTTGTTCAAGCGGATGGAGGTCACAGACGTCTTTTCGGGTAAACGAGTCGCTTTTGGAGGAACCGGAGGCCTGTTAAGTTAAAATTCAGTCGATCAGAGCTGATACCGCCATGATGGGGAGACATACAGATCCCATGAGAGCTGAGAGAGGGCCGGTGAGATTGTTGCCATGAAATAAGAATATGGGTTGCTTACAGTTACTTAAACCCAGTTTCGTAACTTGGCGCTGATATATCTTCTCTGAATATGATGTGGGTTGCTAAGATTCAATCACCGAAATAATTGCTCACCGTCAATGGTACCCGCGGTCAAGAATCTGTAAATGTAGACGGGCCTCTTCTGGCCATCCCTGTAGACAGAGCTATTAGAATACTGGGTAAGATATCAGAAGGAATACCCGTACCGGTGGCATCTTGCCATTGACTGCAGGTCATGACTTGGCGCTCGCTTAGTACAATTGATACTCAAGATGGACAGGGTGTAACTACTAACCTTGGATTCCAGTCTGAGTCGATTAAACATAGTCTTGACCCACCTTGAAGAGAATATCAGTATTATATCCGAGCAGCGAAAGAGGGAGGTTACCAATAAGATTAATTCCGACACCTCCTGCCTTCGAACTCAACAAGAAAATGACTGGACACTCATTAGGTCGTGCCATTTGAAAAGCAAGTTCGAACAGTACACATACAACTGCTGGTCTGGCTTGTCTTGTTGAATACGTTAACGTATTCTTGACGTTTGGCCGTCGGGGTTTGCCTTTATACGTGCGTTAGATAAGATGGAGATGAAACGATCATTGCTTACCCGTCGAGTCGATAATAGCTATAATGCATCTTCTTACAATATGCTTCGAGAATATTAAGAGTGGACGTATAGTGAGAAACCAGAACACATTTCTCCTCGGTAGTCTGATATGTGGTTTAGGAGATATCTCATTGGATTAAGAACCGAATGTACGTCTTTGATATGCTCCAGAAGACGAGACAAAGCCAGTAGCTTTCCTAGTCACTTCTTCAGTAAAAGTGTCACTATGAAAATCGCAGGAGCGGGAGCGAAACCCACCACTTAAGGACATATCGTCGAGCTGTGCCCTCTCAGGAATACAGCAAAGCGTTTCTCTTACGCTCTGTTTTCGTACAGTGTTGTCTTGATCACCACCAGCACTTTCTTTGTCGGCAGTGGCCTTAAGGAGGATAGGACTATTGCTGACTTTGGTTAGTAGGTTCATGAGGGCGAGTGACTCGGCTGTAGATCCTTGTACAAGATCATCCAATTTGTCGGGTTGTAGGAGTTTCGAGAATATAGACACCTGAAGAGCCGTAGGCGTGATAAAAACAACGTATTCATCTGCGGATATGGGATGTTAAGCAGGTACGAAAAAGTATCGGGCCCTCTTACGTTTTGGCGGTAAATAGTTACCAAGAATTTTGGCTTCTCTCCGTAACACAAAGCTCTTTGCGACCGACATCAGCTAAGCATATTGTTAACGGTAAATTAACCTGAACCAAGATAGAAGAGGAAAATACCTGTGCCAGACGCGCTTCTCCAATTTCTGTGTCCTTTGACGTACAGTCTGGTGCACGACTCTTGAGAATAGGCGCCTCGTAGATGCGACGGAACGCGCTATATTCATCTGTAGATCCATTAGTTCTTGTCCTTGTTACTGATGAATTAAATTTAACCGAGTAATCCGGGGTTACAAAAGTCGGCCTGCAGAAAGGCGTTACTTTCGAGAAAAATATTTGTGGTCAAAGAACATACCATTGCATGAAATTCGCCCAAGTCATTCTGAATCGGAGTACCTGAGAGGATTATTCGTCTGGGCGTCCTTAAAGCATCAAACATTGCAGTAGTCTTGCTGTTAGCAGATTTTAGCCGGTGTCCTGGATAACAGATACAGCTTGCGACGTGTTGTAGAACACAGAGACATACCTTCGTCGCATATGATTAACCCGATCGGGGGTCTACGTATGTTCGTTACCATATCTTGGAAAGCGCAGTGAAACTCTGCTTACACGCAAGCGGACAAGGTTTTTCTTTGAACGAGGTCAGGACATAGCGCGGAGAGTGCAAGGAGACTGCTTACATTACGGTACGAAGTCTCTCATACCCGATTATTAATACTTTCTGAGGTTTACTATGTCGGACAAATAAGCGACAACCTTTCGGAAGTTGTTGGACCTACGAGTTGATGAACACAGGGACCGCATTCTTCTCCTTGTCGCAAACGGTCACCCCCACTCTATCTCTCCCCAACCATTTGTGGAATTCAGCTTTCCAGTTCTATTTGTTTTCGATGAGAAAGAGAAGGAAATTAGACACTTAGACTGACGTTGATTAATGAAACGGGGCAGACGATCAGAACCTTCTCGACCACAGGGCCCATGCCGGAGTAGGGGTTCTGTCCTATGGGGCCCAGATTAGCAAAGTCGAAAACAAACTCACTTGACATCTTACTTAACAGCATCCAAACCAGACTGATTGTCTATGAAAAATGAATCTTGAATCACAGCATAAAGGCCAAAGCAAGGTAACTCTACCTGCAAGGTCTTGCCCAGACCCCTAGATATGTGTTTAAACGTCGCAAAAAGGGCATAGGACAGGAACGTACATTTCATCTGCAAGTATGCACCCTCTACCTTCGTGTTTACGGAGACCCATTACACACTCATACATAAATTTTACGCCTAGGCTTGTGTTGAGGATTAAACATCCGAACGAGGGAAGGAATAGTATATACCTTCAATTTGATGTGGTCGCAATTTGCTGGCGATGACAGGATCAAGCACGACGGGTAAGATAGCGCCATTCCTGAGGAACGGTCAAAAGGAACCGAGAATGAAGGTCGAGAATACGACGCACTTCTTGTTGTATTTTTGTGTGTGCTCTTTGGTCGGAGCCTTCATGACAATCGCGCCTCCTGCATTAGGATCGTGTCTTCATATGGTAAGAAAAGATAGTTGGGGATAATCTCATATACTTACAGTGGCTTGGCGGGCTTCTTGACAGATCCGTAAAAGGTTGCCGGGGAAACACCGCCCGCCGACAGAGGAGTGACAAACTTTTTAACGCTATCGCTCGCTCCGAAAAGGGCAGGGGATTTCTGATTTGTGGGAACATCGACATCCCCAGACTGATTGGGCAAGTCGGAAAGAGAAACTTGATTAAACAGTTGCACCTCCTTGCCGCCAAAGTAGAGCGTTTGCCCGCTTTGTAATGAGGTACCTTTCCACGCCAAAGTAGAAAGTCTAGATAACAAATTAAGTCTCCTCTAGAGATAGCGATTGAAAGATGACGGCCTACCTTTTCCCTGTATCTGAAGTGAGCGTGACTATTTTTCCGGTATGGGAGACGAAGGCGTCACCCCCCGAGCTCTTCTTGTTGCCCACATTTCTCCAATTTGCGATCCAGTGACTCTCCAGACTTATGATATTTTCCTTTGTTGGGGATTTGCATGGCGCCGACAGGAGATCGACTTGTTCCAAAGGTACACTTTTTCTCTCCATTGAGATGGGCTTCGGCTGCGGCAGCGTCGATAGCTTGAGGGGCGCAAAAGCCTTTGACGGACCAACAGAAGTCACAAGTGGGGCAGAAACAGCAGCCGCTTGACCGAAACATGTGCCGGAGAGGTATTCTGCTCGACTTGTGCGACATTCCAAACCAATATCCTTCCCACCGACGCCTATTTCTAGACCTTCATAGAGTGAAGCTGGACGTGCGGCCTGCCCCATCCTATGATGGCTCGCTAAAGATCGACGACAAAAAGATATGTGAGGCGACGCACGGTTTTCCATCTGTATCAAACAGAGTGGCTTGTGATCCTTCGACAACGAGAACACCATCCCCTTCCCATGTCTTATGTTTCTTTGTCTGATGGTTTCTCCTACACATGGTTTCCTGTCAGCACACTATTAATTAGACGGGACAAGTCCCTCACCATTGAACCATCCAGTATTCAGAACTGCCAGCAGATCCTGTAATCAATGCTGGACGCTTGCGACTTTGAGATTCTGGTTCGTCGATTTTCCGTTTTCCGCTGCTTTGTAGGGGCTGGAAAGCAGGCATGATGGTGAATGGGATAAAGGAATGAAAATATAGGAATATCTTCGCACGGCTATGCGTCGTGTTGCCCTGATAAGATCATGTGATGTGACAGATCGTGTTCGCCCAACGCGCATCCCGTGACCTTCGGCCCCACATCACAACCATTGCGAAATTTTTCAAGAGCAGAACCTCTTTACCTGCCTTCCACTCACAAAGCCAAAGACATGCGACGGAAAGCAAAAAATGAGCGTTCCGGGCCTATGGGATGTATGGTAGCTCGACGGATGCAGCCGCCAATTCTCACATGGTTACGTTTGTAACAGATATTGAACAAGGCGCCCAACCTTGGGCAATTTCTCACCTCGCGGTGGTAGATGGATTCGAAAGAAATATTTCCGCTTACAGGATAGGAATTGATTCCAGCATATGGTACCAGCATTCAGTGACGTCCAAGAGAGCTGGAGATATCGGCGATAATCCGGAACTGCGTATCCTTTTCTTCAGACTGCGTCGACTTGGTTTGTTTCCACGTCTCTATACCTTCGGAAAGACTGACCAAGGAGCGTAGCTGAGTCCCCATTTGTCCCGCTCTTCGTGTTTTCAGGTCACGAGAGGCCGGACCGGATAGGAATCATTGACGCTGTAACACTGATGATGTCAACGCACTGGTTTTTGGGGCCAGGACCGTTATAAAGAAGTGTGTTTTCTATTCAACTCAAGTCTCGGCGTATTTTGACGCGCTCTCACAGTCAATGTCTAAACACCAAAAGTGTGACTTGGCGCGATGGCATAATGTCATGGTCATATCAAGGACCTGCGTGTAATGTCTTGAATTCCTCACAACGAGCATCGTCATCGGGCAACACTGTATCCGTCATAATGCTGCGCTCTGTTCTGCCTCGTTTGAATATCCCAATAATGCAACTGCAGCTCCTCTTTGTACGTCCCCATTTTTCTAGACATCTCTGCACCTGCACCCAGTTGGAAGATGAACTTTTCGACCTAAGAGAGGCTAGATATACTCCGGGATCTAGTTGACCACCCGAAGGCGTGACCCGACATCTCAAAGTGCCTCAGAACTACGACGACCCAAATCAACTTATCTGTGATATCACTGATTTCAGCCCACCACGGTTGTATCTTCCACCATCGTTTCATACTGAAACATATAAAACTAATGGAAATATATGGAATCACAGCCGTCGTATTGGCTTAAAATAACGAAAAACCCCATATCTGTCAATCCAAGGGAGGACATACCGTTCCATGTAACTTTCTCGTTGTCTCTGGCGATATTCATCTATTGATGCCACCGTTAATCACTAGGGACTTGCCCTCGTCTCTTCGCTGTTTCATAATCACATCACGATCGAGAGCAACGAGCCCATTCCCGTAGCCTATAGAATGCCCGACCGCCTGCCATCAGGAGAATCCGTTTTATATTAGGTATATGATGGGTTTGGCTCTTAACACTCTCTGCCTGTGAACATGTTGCATGATAGGTTAGAATGCACGACCGGATCAAGCTTGTTGTCATCATGGAAGAAGACATGAGGCTGCCTGGCCCAGAACTTTACACCCGGCTTTTCACTGAGCTCTACAGTCAGTTGGAGCCTTCTCGATATAATAGGACACTTACTTCTTCTGGATCGGCCGCCTCTAAATCCAATCTATATGGTTTTTTTACGAAAAAGAAAAACTCGACTTAAGAGTATATACGGTCTCCTGGCTGATGAGGTTCGGAATGCATTCTTCTCTCATGATCCTGTCACGACAACGTTCCAAATGCATGAATTATTATACATTAGACCGGGTTGTAAAAGAGCGCTCCATGATATGATGAGATGTAAGTTATCACTACCTGTATTTCGCTTCTCGACGATCTCTGTCCTAGTATCGGAAAAGCTCTTTAGTATCCTGATGCATGCGTACAATGAATTTCTGGATCATTGGTTCAAGCGCATCATGTCACCCCCACAGGTAAACAGGTGATTAAATCCGAGTCTATATGAGATTAACTGTTATCCTTCATTTTACCATAAAGGAAGATAAGAAGGATCGCCCCCTTTAGAGCCTGGTGGAAGAAGCAATCCAATGCGCAAACTCGGCTACAGCACAGCTCGAGTTCCCTGAGAATGAGGATGTCTTGAAGCGGGACTAGATGATTTGCGCAAAAGGTAAGTGTCGGTTCTAAAAGCATCGAACTGGCCGAACGTACTCATCCATGAAGTGTATGGATACTTCCCCTCGATCTAAAAACTAACAATTGCTGGCTCGGTCTTCACGACGATCTTGATCAGATGGCAGCGAAAGCAACCCTGAATTTTCGACGGGAGCGAAATTTGGAAGAGAAGAAATGGAAAGATGGGAGGAGGCATAAAAGTTATCAGTATTGTGGTTAGGAAACCTATAGTAGCAGGGTTGAGTGAAATGGAATTCGTCCTGGCTGATTGCCAGCACAAGTTTTGGAGATACTTCCAGTCCTCGTCGACTAAGAAGCAGTTGTTCCGGAGCTTCGATGGATTTGCGGAACTATATAAGCTTCACTACGTCAACGTCATGATTGGATTGGGAACGAATACAAGTTCTTACTACGTACCAACATGTCTGTACCAGGGATAACGACATCTAAAGGATAATTGACGTACCAAGAGCCCATGATTAGGTCGAACATCTCAACTAAGCCTTAAGGTGCGAGGAAGACTCGGGGTGAGATCACTGACAGAAATGAATAACAGAATTATGAAAAGAAGTTTTTCTAGATGTATGGCCTACCGTGAGGCGATGTGAAAACGCTGTTGGCTGATAATAAAACGATGGAAGGCAAAGAAAGGTAAGTAGAAGTCATTTACCAAACCGTACCGCATGCGACACAACAGAATACGTTATCTGGAAAGTAAATACACACACTGAAATAGAAAATCAGTGTCATAGCACAAGGCAATGCTGAAAGCCCGTGAAGCCCGAAGATCTATAACATGCCAGTTTTCAACTTCAAAGAGAGGAGGTAAATCGTGCAAGCAAGCACAATAGCACTGCCTAGGATGGTGGTGCCATTGCCCGAAAAATTTGAATGCCAACTCATGCACTCCATTCTTCAGCGCAAGAAGACCGAACGGCCCAAACGGCAAGCAAGTTATACGAGGTATAAGCACAACTCGGGGTATCACTGTCACGCGTGAATCGTAGCATAGAAATGCAGCATTTCATCGCTGCCTGCTTCCGTCGTAGTTACAAAAAATGGTTTGTATATCATTAAGTTCTAAGCATGGCCATGAGTATTGCGACAAGATAAGTGTGTTCCTAGAACTCACCGGCGCTCATTAGTCTCCATCCTGGACCGGCTTATACAAGGCAGAAAAAGCGAGTGCTGCCTTGAGCCTCTGATCGTTACTCCCAGTTGCGACATGGTCAAGCCACCACCTAAGCAATGATGCAGCTTCCGTCTCACTGACCAAGCACAGACCACGTTCATTCACTGCCTCGCGCACCTCGTCAGGACCTAGCCCGTCCAGCCCATCCTTCACCAGCCATGCATCATCCTCCTCGAGAAACTCCATGTGAGACTCGATGCCGAGCGGAGGAACCGGGATTGACTGGAATGCAGGTAGTCCATACAAATGGCAGATGGCGAGGCGGCGGCTACGATGAAACCAAAAGTCGTCCTTATCGTCAACCTTAACGCCCTTTAAAACTGTGTCGTGTTCATCTTCATCGTCATCCTCTTCCACGAAAGGCTCGATCTTGAGGCGCTCAAGAAGCTTGTAGGCCTTTCTGAGATCCGGGAGAGCCTGCTTGACACTCTGGATATGCGCTGCATGCTGACGCCGAAGCTGGCCTGGGAGTATAATTGTCGAAGGAAGAAATGAAGGCGGGAGGAATATGACGAACGGGAGAATGATGGGATCCAACAATAGCACGCAGAACGGGGCAATCTTGGACATATCTCTGTGCTGTGTCCTCAGCATGCGCCATTCCCTCCTCGTAGTTGGCGTCCTCGAAAGGTCGGTCCTGCGTCTGAGTACTTTGAATATGCCAGTCGCGTAAAAATACAAGAGCTGAAAGGTTGATGTCGCGAACCAGTTTGCTAGATTGGGCTTGGGTCCGAAATTTGGTAGAACACCACGAGATTCGGCATCATCGATGTCGTCCTTTATGCGCCTGAATATTGAGGGCCTTCCTTGGGTGGATAGAGGACGACGTCCGATGGTAAGAAGTAGCCTTCGACGAGGCTGCACAACATAGCGGATCATGACGACTGCGACCGGCAATGACCGGCCTGACCGGCTACCATTATCTACGCCCGGCGTCCCCCGTTGGACCGGCCGTCAAGGGTAGTCGCCGACCTTTTCGACCCAAGTGACGATGGCCAGGAGGAAGCCTATTCGAACAAAGACTCTGGGGAAGGCAAGGGGTTCCGTGCGCAAGCGAAGAAGCCGCACCTTGCTTCTAATATTCACGTATGTAGTGTAATCATTTTTATATCTTTATAATTACATATCTTGTAGTACTTTTTGCTGGCTCGTAGCCTACTGGTCCTTGGTGTTCAATTCTTCTATGCTCCACTTGGTGACCGGGTTCAGCGAAAAGTCGTCGTGGTCGCCGGCGAGAAACCGGTGCATAGAAGCCCATGCGACCATTACAGCATTATCTAGACAAGTCAGATCATAGGAACAGTGAGAGCACGAGGATTGGCATACCTGTGCAGAGAGACGGCGGAGGGTACTGTAGTGTAAGTCCTTCATTAATGGGAGGGCCGCTTAACATTTGCGTTAATCTAAATCATGGTCAACAAACACGGTCTAATCAAACAAGTACAGTGTACCTGGCTCGTAGGTACGAATTGCTCGCAACTCCACCACTAATGACGACGTGTTTTATAGGAATATCCTCGCGGAAGCATCGCTTGATGCCAAGCATCAGCTTTGACTCCAGGTGGTCGACAACGGCCTTTTGAAAAGCTCTCGCAACGGCGACCTTTTCTTCGGGCACGATATTTTCAATGCCGCCGCGTCTGTGAACGAAGCGCTCGACCTGGGAATGATAGCCCGAGTATGAAAACCCCATTTCACCTGGCATGGCGTTACTGAAGGGGGTGAAGTCTTCGGGAGTCTTGCTCTCGATATCCTGGTAACAAAACTTCTCCAACGCCGGGCCAGCCCAGCCCAACCCCAACTCTCGCGTGACTTTGTCGAATGTGCGCCCGATGCTCTCGTCTCGGGTAGTAGCGAGGATTCGGAATGAGTCGACCGAGTTCGCTAGGAGGAGAAGTGTATGTCCACCGGATATGAGGAGGCTGAGGAAGGGAAATGTCGGGATGTCAGGCCAAGAGGTGAGAAGAGGTGTCAAAGCGTGAGCTTGCTACGACTGTATCTGAGAGTGAATACAAGCGGTAGACACACTGGATTACGAACCATATGATGAACGCCAACTATAGGCTTTCCTGTTACAGCTGCGAGAGTTTTCGCAGCATTGCAAGCCACGCTCAGGCAGATTCCCATACCTATACACGAACGTGAACGAATCGGTTTCTCCAAGGCTGGATAGGACGCACCTGGCCCTCTGGTAAATGCAATTCCGTCAATGCTTGACATGTCGAGACTAGCATCTGCAAGTGCTCTTTTGGCCGCGACCGGCTGCCAACAGGTCAGTCGTCCCTCACTGGAAGGACAAGCGACAATACCATGTTTGCTTGGTGCTCCATGACTGCAGCCGCAGGATGGATTCCGCCCCATTTTTTGTTTCTGGTAACGTATCAAGAAGAGAAGCTAGATGTGTTGTCGCCACGCACAAATGGTGTTGCTTGATGACCACATTGGAAAGAATCTGGCGCTCCGACGTGACTATAGCGGCACAGGTGTCGTCTGCAGAGCTTTCAAAGGCAAGTACAGTGAATTTTCTGAATAACGTCGGAAAGAGAGCACGGCGGCATCGAGGACGCGCCAAGACAGAGAGCATTTGTCGAAGTCAAGGAAACCGGTTTTTTTATTTAAATGTTTTTCTACTGGTTACATAACCAAGTACAGTAACTAACCGCAGTAGATGCTCAAAACAAATTATTCGCCATGTACAAATTTTGACTAGACTGTATGTGTTCGCACACGACCTTAAGCATCCCTTTCTCTAACAAACGAGGACAACATTTCTCTATCTCCTTCTTGTCTTTTTCTCCCTTCTCCATAGTTGTAGGGCGGAACACTTTGATGGCTACTCGCAGCAACTTGAACGCAGAAAATTCTTGGGCTAAGAGGGAATCAAGCAGTCGCCAAGTTCCTTCTAGATCTTCCACAACGTATGGTTCCGGCTTGTTTATTCCTACGATGATTGTCAAGTCCTCGAGATTCGACGCTTCGCCCTTCTCAGCCAAGTCTTTCAACATGTCTATCCACCATTTCAATATAACGACGGGTTGCTTGATGCCTATGAACTTGTACCGTCCGTGGACATCAATGCCGAGCGACTTCAAATGTGAGATTTCGAGAGGGGCGGGATTTCGCTTCCATGTTGCGTTGCCCTTAGCCCTATCTGAAGCAAAGTCAGAGAGGAAATTGGAAAAAATCAAACGCTACGCGCCTCTGACGTCAAACCCGTGCATATGTCTCACATTGAACTTCTTGAGGCTACCTTCCTGGGCTGTCTGGTGGAGGAATAGGCCTATATCGGCCAGTTGCTTATACTTTACATCCATCACGGTCACGTTACGGAGCTTGTTAATGGTCCCAAAGGATCCATCTAAAGCTGCACACCACAAGTCATCACTGTCTATCCTGATTGTTTGAAGTGCCGGTCCCTCCTCTACTAAAAGCGATCTCCGAATGGGCCTCTCTTGTAGAAAGCGAAGGCGCGAGCAGTAAACTTCTTTTACGGACGAAAAATGGCGTATAAACGAGCAGAGATGATTGATATCGTGGAAGATAGCTGACGTGAAGTGCAGTGACTTCAGAGGCATCTTGGAGAGAATATTCAATAGCAGCGAGTCATCGAAGACAAACGACATGTTCTTTTCCAAGAATTGAAGGTGTTCGATGTTTTTGAAACGCCGGAAGATCTGGGATATGTCTTTGTCGTTGTCACGAAAACGCACAGCGGTAGCATGATCGGGGATCTGAGTATCGAAATTGCGGAAGTCGGGTAGGATAAACGCCCTTTGGCAGAAGTGAGTGGAGGTAAAGCATCGTCGAAATATTCGAGTGAGCCGTGAGCCCAACATCTGTTACAGTCAGGATGAGATATACCTAAACGAGCAACCACTACCACATACCTCCAAGATGAAAGCACGAGGTGTTGCGTGTGATTCCTGAGAGTTGCCTCAAATTCGCCCTCCGCGACGATGATGTAAGCTCCTCAAAATGGAAACCGTCTCGCGACCCCCTCCCGAATCTCCCGCCGTTTCCTCTAAAATATTATTTATTTTAAGTACATAGAACGATAATTTATAGATAAATAAATTTTATTTTGACCTAGCCACTTATAATTAAATGAATTCCCCATGAAGGGAAATTTCAGGTGGCATGCACTGAAAATGACACAAATACAGATTTCATTGCATATTGAGATGGAGACAGAGAGATGGCTGTAAAGGGTGCACTGTGGAAGGAGTTTGTGATAGAGAGTGGATTGCAGATGACCTCCACAGAGGCCATCAACTTTAAGCTGTGCCAAGTCCTGGCAGAATGGTTTGATTCTGGCTCTGGTCTTTGTTTCAAGAGGATAACTGGTTGTATGCCACCAGAGTCTGAAGATGAGCAGGACAAGAGGACCAAGGAAGATGATGAGTTAGAGGAGTCAGAGAGCACCTTAGAAAGGAGAAAGAGAGTGTGGAAGGATAAGAGGAAGATAGTGGATCTGGCAGAAAGGAGTCAAAGCAGAAGTTCAAGTCCAGGAGTGTGGTGGATGATAGTGATGCAGAGACAGTGGCTAGTCCTAAAAAGAGGGCCAAGTTGGAGGTTGCAGAATTAGTGAAGGGCAAAAAAGAGTTGAGCAGTGAAAGTAAGCGTCTTGTTATTTTTGATGGGTGCATCTTAGTTCTACTTTCAGAGAGTTGCATATGCTGTCATTAAGATGGCATATCCTATTATGCACACCTGGTAACTGAAGCTGCCAGCCATGAGTGGACTTGTGCCTGTTGCAAAATTAAGAAGACTGCTTATTTGTCCAACAAGGGTGTTATTACAAGTGAGATGATCAGTAGTGTGGAGGTCTCTGCTGACCTCCATCAACTTTCAAAATTAATATGCAAGTTGATGCATCATGTGGACAAGTTGGCAGAAGAGCTGGCAGATGTCTACAGTACCATAGTGGATCTCCAGGATGATTATAGATCAGACAATATATTGTCTCCCTTGGAGTTATTTTTGGAGTCTGAGTTAGAGACATGAAAAAAGGCTTGTCTGATTTTCAAGAACAAGAAGGATCAGGAGGTGAAAGATCTGCAGGCAGCAATGTTGAAAAGGTTGGATGAGAATATGGAGGAGCTGAAAAAGCAAGGAGAAAACTTGGATTCTGATGTGAGTTCATCAGGTATCAGGCCTTTATAATTAAAAAAAATTTCTTATAGTACAAAATGTATATAAAAAGTGTCAGATTGGTGGACAAAAATATAAATACAAGATTAGCTTTGAAAATTGTAAAAAGGGTGATTGAAATAGTAATCAGTGGTTGAAATTGAAATAGTCAGAGTGAGTGCCAGTGATGTCTGAAGTAGTGTTGTATCAAAAAGAGAATGTTTGGATGACTTTAGATAAGAGTTCTGATTTGCTTGGATATCAATGGTGAAATTTCTTGATAAACTTGTCAGTGGAAAACTTAGAGATCAGTAACTAAGCAAATTCTTTATTGGTACCTTCATAGCCTAGTCACTGGATCTTGTACAGTAGTGGGCAGCAGAACCAGCAGTTCAGCTTAGAGTTAAGAATTCAGGCTATTTTAAAATGTTCCTTTCTATCAACTTTGACTGGAGACAGCAGAGGTTGAATTTGATTGAAGATAGTGTTTTCTTCTATGAGTTTTAGTTGTAACATATAGAAGACTGGATGAATAAACTAGAGATCTGACAGAAGCCTCAGAGTGAAGGAGTGAGAACCAGATTGAGCTATGATTTCAAAAGGACCAAAGTATTTCTTGGAAAATTTTCTAATTAGACAGGTGGTTTTGATATGTTTGGAACTGAGATAAACTTTATTGTCCACTGAGAATGGAGGTATCAGAATCTGATGCTTGTCCACTTGGATCTTATAGTGAGACTGAGCTTCAGAGATTTTATCTTTTAATACTCAATGAAGCTTATCAAGGTTGACTGCAAAGTCTTAGGCCTGAAAAGAGGCAATATCCCTTTCAGAATGAATGATGATGTTAGAGTGATAATTCTTATTAGCAAAGAATGGGAAAATTCTGGTAAACATGTTAGAGATATTATTATAGACAAACTCAGCAATGAGTAAAAGGGTGTCTCAGTTGTCCTGTTGATAGGAGCAGTAAATACAGATGTATTGTTCTGGAGTTTGGTTTGCCCATTCAGTTTGTCCATTGGCCTCTAGATAGTAACCAGAAGTAAAGTAGAGTTCCATGTCAAGAGTGATGGCTAGGGCATGAGTAAACTGGAAAACAAATTCAGAGCTGTGATTAGAGATGATATGACTGAGTATCCCATGTTTGGAAAAGACATAAATGAGAAAAAGTTGAGTGAGCTCTATAGAGTTGATAGTGTTATAAGTGGGAATGAAGATGGCTTGCTTGCTAGTCTGATCAATGACTACTAGGATGACAGTAAATCTGTTAGAGTCTAATAGTTGTTCAATGAAGTCTATGGAAATAGAATCCCATAGCTATTCAGAAACTAGTAGAGGTTTAAGCAACCTATAAGAGTGGTGTCTAGATATCTTGTTGCATTCACAAACTGTGCAAGACTTAATATAGTGTCAAATATATTCACACATCTTTGGTCAGATGTAATTCTGCTAGACTAGCTCTAATGTCTGGTTTTAGCCAAAGTAGCCTGCCAGAATATGATCATGATTGTTTTGTAGTATACAGAGATGGAGATTATCAGAGTTTAGGATATAAATATGGCCTTTAAAGCAAAGAATGTTGGATTCATCAATAGACCACTGAGAGAAAGAGGATTCAGAAGTGGCTTTGGCCTGGTGGAGATCATCAAAGGATGTAGGGTCAGAAGATTATACTCTTTTGATATTGATATAGAGCTTGTCAATATCTATGATGGCATTAGCTTAGAGGATAGAATCTTCAAGATAGATTGCATAGAGTGATGTGGAAAGTTGTTCTTGGATGTTAGACCCAAGTTGCACATGATCAAAACATGTAATAAGCTTATACTGTATTGTGTTCATACAGTCACACTAGAGTTCACTATTGTGCTTTATTGATCAAGAGCTTCAAGGCCTTTAGAATTGGCTTAAGAGTGAAGTGATATAAGAGTAAACTTTAGCTCAAAGCTGAGGTTATACCAGCAAGAGCCAGCCTACTTATATACTACTTATTAGTCAAGATAAATATACTACTACCTATTGTACTGGTCCAGGTCTTTGTGCCCATTGTCTTTGGGCATTGCTACTACCTACAAAAAGCCATTGTATATCATTAAAAGTCTGTCACTATGTCAGAGAACAATAATAGATTGGCTTATTGTGATGACTAAGCCTGTCCTATAGTCCTAAGCACTGATATAGGTGCTCTGACTAAGCATAAATAGAGAGTTAGATTGAAAAAAAAATTAAAAAATCATAATATTACTTTCTCCTTAAGACTATCATTCTAATGGCTTAATTAAGGGATAATTCATAATCATGTATAGCATCTGTGGCATTCATTTCTCATTAACCCATTGGTTAGATTCAGAGCTGTAGCCCTTCCAACTAACCAAATAGTCAACTGTTGTTGTCATTCTGCTACTATACACCCAGATTTTTTAGAGACAATGATTAAGAACTTGTTCAATTTTATAATATTCTTTATTATTGATTAAGTCAGGAGGCAGAGCAGAAGGGCATTCTTGGTTTGAAAAGGCTAGTGCAATGAAGAGAGTAAGGAAGAATTCATTAAAGACATTATGAATTTTTCAGGTGATTGGTAGATAGAGTTTATATGCAGAGGTGCCAATTTTAGTGATAATCAGGAATAGATCAGTCTGTTTGTCTGTGAGTTTTTTCTTGAAACATGGTAGATGAAGGTTGGTCATGTCCAGCCAAACCTTGTTATTAATGTTGTAAGAGTGGGCAGACACTTAGCATTTATCATACTGGGTTTTTATCAAAAAGGCTGCTATTATGATTTTCCTCTTTTTTTTTCTATTTTTACCTCTATTTATACTTAGTCAGAGTGCTTAGACCAGCACTTAGGACTGTGAGAGAGGCTTAGTCAGCATAACAGACTGATCTGTCATTATCCTCCAATATAATGACAGCTCTCAACAATGCACAATGATCTTTTTGTGGACAGTAATGGCATCTAAGAACAATGGGCATCAGAACTTGGAAACATACAATAGGTAGTATTATATTTATCTTGACTTTATATAGTATATAAGTAGGCTAGCTCTTGCTGGTTAAATCTCAGCTTTGAGCTAAAGTTTATTCTTTACCACTCTATCTTAAGCCACTTGTAAATGACCTTGATATATAATACCAAACAAACACATATAGTAAACTTGGGTGTGACTGTATGAACATGATACAGTGCTCATTTATCATGTGTTTAGGTCACATGCAGCTTAAGCTTAACAATTAGCTCAAAGCTTCTTGCTTTTCTTTTTTTATACATAATAAGTGTGAAGGAAACTGAATGCTATCTGCCTCTACTACAATCTCCAACCTTACAAATGACTTCTTTAAGCTACTAGTGGCCATCATTGGCATGCTTTTAGGCTTGCTTGCAATCATTCAACTTTACTAAGGAAGACAATCAGTAACTGGTTGGATAGTCAGGCACTATCAAGCATTTCAACACATTCAATAAATTCTATAAAATGTAACTCTGGACCTACTATTCTATGACATCTCCATCTCCACTAGAACCTCCTTCCAGCTCCCACTTAAAATCATACCCAAAGCTGGATCTAGTAGTCTATATCTGTGGAGCACTGAAGAAAAGAAAGAACACTAGTACCTCTCTTGATCCTAATGAACTGATAACAAAAACTATGGTCATAGGCTCATAGGGTTCAGAAATCCATGAATTCTGGCAGAGTTCTCTCCAGTCTCAAACTATGAGGATGAGAACCTTCCTGACAACTTCTTTGAGAAGTCACCATCTCTCAACTCTTCTACAGTCTCCCCTGAGCACAGGATTAGAGACTGTGCCA